AGAGCCCATAAGGATGCCAGCATTACAGAGAGCAACTTTACCTGTTGTACCACAACACCGGTCCTGAGCAGAATGTACTTAGAGAGCTTAGAGAGCGAGAGAGAGCATTCATGCAGGAGAAATAGCCATCATCCGTGGACCAGGCGCTTGGCCTATGGCAAGAGAGTGGGCGGAGCCCAGAGAAGGATGAACAGCGTGGTCCAGAAGCCAACAGCAAGAGCCGGGCCCCTCCTCCACTGTCAGTCTCTCCTATGAGCCTGGAGGTGGATCTCTAAATGGACATACAACCGGGATGCCGTCTGGGAGTTCCTGGCATCTCCACTTGGAGTTTAACTTTCACGTGGCCATCACAGCGTCTCCTCCCTCCTGCTCCCAGATAAGAAAGCAGGTAGATCTGGGCTCAGCGTGGCAGGCCAATGGCTAAAGTCCTTGCCTTTTATGCGGAGGGTTCCCGTATGGGTGCCAGTTTGTATCCCAGCTGCCCTGCTTCCCTTCCAGCTCCCTGCCTGTGGCCTGGGAAAGCAGTAGAGGACGGCCCAAAGCCTTGGGAGCCTGCACCCACATGCGAGACTAGGAAGAAGCTCCTGACTCGGGCTTCAGAGGAGCTCAGCTCCGGCTGTTGTGGCCATCTGGGGTGTGATTCAGCAAATGATAGATCTTTGGCTCTGTTTCTTTCTAGAAATCTGCCTTTCCAATAAAAATCTATCTTTTTTATTTTATTTTTGATAGTGTTTACATAGTTGGTTAGGGTTGGAAAGATCAAGAGTTAGGGAAAAGTGGGTGTGATCGTTGTTTCCAGGTAAGGGGATGAGCCATGCCCAGCCTCCCTACCACCCCAGCACCCGGGGATGAGGGACGGCCACCAGATATCAACCCAGGGTGCCGATGTGGCACATTTGCCAAGGGTTCTGCCCAAGTGTTTTCTATAGTTCTGACATACCTTCGATCTCGCCAATCCAAGGATGAGAAAATCCTTCCAGTGTCCAGTGACGTCATTGGCCTTACAGTCTGCATGCTGTCGTCATTTGGCCGGGGTAGTTGTCCAATTTGTTCTGTTCTCCTTCCTCTGCTATGGTACCAGATGTCCTCTGCGGGCGCCAATGGGCTGCCATTATCTTCCATGTGCATCAGGGTCTGCTGTCACTGCTCTGCCTTTTCTACTGAGGAGGACAAGTTCTCACAGGTGGACCCAAGGGCTCAGACCCTGCCAGACCCTCCGACCCCTAGGGCTCATGGACCTGGCACCCACTGCCCCCACCCTGGCATGGCTCACCTCACCTTAGCATCCACCAACAGGTATTGCAGCCTGCTCCCATTTCCAGCTCATGCTGGTGGGTGATGCAGCCTTGCCCAGACCAATTCGCACCTGGTCCTAATGTGGACTAGATTGAGTGGCAGTCCAACCCAGCCTGTCCCGCAGCCCATCCTGGTTCTCAGATCTGCCAGTGGATGTTATGAACTGGTCCAGCCTACCTGAGCCCCAGACCTCACACGTATGCTGGGTACAGTAACCTGGCCTGGTCTGGGCTACTCCTTGCCTTGGTTCTTGCTCACCCGCAGGGAAAGCATCCTAACAAAGGAGTCACTAAGCTCCTCTATCTCCTAGCAACACACACTGATGGGTCCTTGGCCCAGGTTAACTTAGTCCACATCTTGTCCTGGCAGGTACAGTATCTGCCCAGCTGGCCTATACCTATTCCAGTTATTACTCTTCAGAGTTACAGCCCAGCCGTACGTGGTCCACTCTCAGCCACAGCTCTAACCTGGTTCAGCAGGAACTGAGATCTAGCCCAGGTCATTCTACACCCACCCTGACTAGTACCAGTGAGTACCACTAGTACCAGTGAGTGCTGGAATCTGGTCCAGTCTGGCGCTCCCCAGAGCCAGTCCACTCCCATGCCGAGGGGGACTACAGCCATGTCCAGCCCAGATCATCACCCCATTCCAGGCCCTGTGCTCACCAGTGGGAACCCCAACCCTGCCAGGGTGTCCTCTTAGCTCCCCAAGCAGACCAGTTCCCAGCCGCAGATCCTGTGCGTGCCAGTGAAGATTGCATTTCCACAGGGGTGAGCCCGCATACCCCTCAACAGATTCTGCCCCCAGACCTGATTCTTTCATGTGCTAGTTAGCATCATGGACCAGCCTCACATTACCCATCCCCTGTTCTGAATCTCACTGCACCGTGATCTGGCCCCATCAGGTCAGCCCTCAAGCCTCTCTGTAAATCTGCCTTTTATACAGAGAGGAAGAGAGACAGAGAGGAAGATCTTCCGTCCATTGATTCACTCCCCAAGCAGCCGCAATGGCCGGAGCTGCACCAATGTGAAGCCAGGAGCCTCTTCCAAGTCTCCCACGTGGGAGCAGAGTCCCAAGGCTTTGGGCCATCCTCGACTGCTTTCCCAGGCCACAAGCAGGGAGCTGGATGGGAAGCAGGGCCACTGGGATTAGAACCTGTACCCCTATGAGATCCTGGCACATGCAAGGCGAGGACTTTGACCACTAGGCTACTGTGCTAAGCCCAACAATAAATAAATTTTTAAAAATACAGCCAGGTAGGGGCCCGGCGCGGTGGCGCAAGTGGTTAAAGGTCCTTGCCTTGCACGCCCGGGATCCCATATGGGCGCCGGTTCTAATCCCGGCAGCCCCGCTTCCCTTCCAGCTCCCTGCCTGTGGCCTGGGAAAGCAGTCGAGGACGGCCCAAAGCTTTGGGAACCTGCACCCGCGTGGGAGACCCGGAAGAGGCTCCTGGCTTTGGATTGGCATAGCATTGGGTGTTGCGCTAACTTGGGGAGTGAATCATCGGACGGAAGATCTTCCTCTCTGTCTCTCCTCTCTGTATATCCGCCTTTCCAATGAAAAAATAATAAAAATAAATCTTTAAAAAAAAAATACAGCCAGGCAGAATATTAAAAAAAAATCCACAGGTGGATCATGGGAAGGTGGTCAGCTGCCTTGAAAGATCAGGGGATAGAGAGGCATCACAGGGCTGATACCTGTCCCTGTTTAATATTTTCCTGTTTTAAAAAATATGTATTTATTTTTTATTGGAAAGGCAGATTTCCAGAAAGGAAAGACAGACAACAAGATCTTCCATCCACTAGTTCACTCCCCACGAGACCACAACAGTCAGACCAGAGCCCATTTGAAGCCAGGAGCTTCTTCCAGGTCTCTCGTGCAAATACAGGGTCCCAAGGCTTTGGGCCATCCCCCACTGCTTTCCCAGGCCACGAGCAGGGAGCTGGATGGGAAGTGGAGCAGCTGGGACACAAACCGGCTTCTGTATGGTATGTTGCTGCTTGGGTGTGCGGAATTCGCCAGTTGAGCCATTCATGGCGCCCGCCCCACCCTATCCAATCTTTCATTTGTATTCTCTTTAAAAGCTCCAAGCACCTCATTTAGCAAGGAGACAATTTTTCAAAAAAAAAAAAAAAGTAAATGAAATATCTTATTTTAAAAATGATATACTTTTATTTTGAAAGACAGATTTTCACAGAGGGAAGAGACAGAGAGTTCTTCCACTCAAGCGGCTCCAAATCCCAGAACTGAGCTGATTCAAACCTGGGAGCCAAGAGCTTCTTCCTGGTCTCCCATGGGGTGCAAGTGCCCAAGCTCTTGGGCAATCCTCCATTGCAAAGTGGTGCAGCTGGGGCTCAAAGCAGTGCCTACATGGGATGCCGGTGCTTGCAGACGGGTGACTAGTCTGCTAAGCTACTGTGCCAGTCCCCCCAGGAGACCGGACCTTGGCTACCCTCTCATCAATGGACAGATGACACTTCACTCTCAAGCTTTGACCTCTGCTTGGATTTGGCACCATCGTTTGGGTAACAGAACCAAGCTCCCCACGCTGGCTGGTCGGGAAAGCCTGTGATGTTCTTTTCCTTTTGCAGTTACCTAAAAGTTCAAGGCGCCCTTGCTGACATTCTTGTTTGGGGGCCCAGAAGTTAAAACTTAGTCACTGCCTCAAGCCCTTGTTTTAGGAAAGAATGAGGTGGCTGTTGCATAACTCAACAGCCAGTGGGTGGGTGCGGGGGCTGAAGGAATGGTCCCTCACCCTCCCTCTTGCAAGGCATGGAGCTCTGAGAACCAGGGACAGGCCTGTGGGTGGGCAGGGTGGGGTGCAGGCAACAGCGCCCAGATGGTCCCTCTGTAGAGCCTTCTCTTGTCCACAACACTCGAGCATAGCAGGACGTGAGAAACCCCTGGAACGCCTGCAGGGAGAGGGCAGGTTCAACCCTCACGCCTGCCCCGCCCACCAGGTGCAGTCTGCTCACCTCGGGTCCCTCCGGACATCCTGTGCCCCCAAGCTAACGCCCCCCAGCTTCCACAGCCTGGGCCAGGTGGGCTCCTCCCTGCCCTGTACCCCCCTCCCTGCCTGAGTCACCTTCTGCTACCCCCACAGCTCTGGGATGTCTTGCTCTCCCCCCACCCCCATCCCAACACACACACACCCCTGCAATTTCTCAGCTGCCTTCGTCCTACAGAGGGTCACCCCCAAACTCCCTGCCCCTCCCCCAGCCTTCGTTCCTCCTCCTCCTCCATCTGTCCCTCCATTCACTCCCAGCTCCGCATCACGTCTTCATCTCGCTGCACCCACACACACTAAGGCGATTTTAGGCTTTGCTCCTCATCATCCAAAGGCTGGGCCTCCCGCCCTCCCGTCCCTCCGGCCAGCTGTGCGGCTCCCAAATTCCGGGCGAGATTCCCAGGCAAAGAACAAGGAAAAAAAAAAAAAATCAGAGCAGTTTGGGAAGTAAACCGAGACTGAGGAGGGAGGCGGGAGGACCCAGGTGGTGGGGGGGAGGTTGGTGAGGCAGTCCGGTCCCACCCAGTTTAGGGATTGCCCCTGCCTTCTCCCCCTCCCCCTTCACCTGGCCTTAAAGGGCCCGGCCCCTGGCCGGCGGCTACTTAAGGCTGAGGGACGGCGGCAGCAGAGACCCGCAGCTGCTTTGCGACCGTTCTGGGAAGAGTGGACCGGAAAAAAAAGATAATAAATCCTGACCATGACCGCCCCCAGGCTGCTGTCACGGCCGCCGCTCCTGCTGCTGCTGATTTTGCTGCTGGCCGCCCGCGCAGCGGGGGCTTCGGCGCGGTGCCGGGGCTGCGGGCAGGGGGCGCAGGCGGCGTGTCCCGAGGGCTGCGTGGAGGAGGACGGGGCGCCGCCGGCCGAGCGCTGTACGGAAGCCCGGAGCTGCCCGCGCAGAGAGGGGCAGCCGTGCGGGGTCTACACCCCTGCCTGCGCCCCTGGACTGCAGTGCCTGCCGCCCAAGGAGGAGGCGCCGCTGCGGGCGCTGCTGCAGGGCCGGGGCAGCTGCCGCCAAGCCCGCGCGCCCTCGGGTGAGTGCGCGCCGCGTCCCGGAGAAGGGTCCCCAGAGATGCGCCCCAGGTCCCGGGAAGGGGTCATCGCGACGGGAGAAGGGGGTGCTCCCTGGGGCAGGGGTAAGGGAATGGGATCTGTAGCCCGGAGCAACTGGAAGGCTGGGTGTGGCGAAGGGGAATTGATGAGCCGCGAGGTGTCTGAGCTTGTAACTTTTTTTTTTTTTTTGGAGGAGTGTGCTCCTCCTATTTTCCCATGAGACGTGGAGCGCTGTAGGGTCATCCCACGTTCCCCCAGCAGATCCAATTCTTTTATCCCTCAGTGGCCCTAGCAAGGGAGAAGGGGATTCCACACTCTCCAGATTCACACACGCAGAGAATGTCTCTTCCTCTCCTGTTACGTGCACAGGAACTTGAACTTGGTGTCTAAAACAGAAGATGCTCCAGAGCCAGAGTTGTCCCAAACCGGAGTAGGGACAGGCAGGCAGCCCTAGAGGGCCCATGAGAGAGATTATAACCTGCTCACACCCGCCCGCCTCCCCTGGTAGAGGGGAATGGACTGAGTCAGCACCCCGAAGATGGGGGCAACAGGGAAAGGGGGAGAATGTCAAAGAATTCCAGCCGCCCCCAGCCCCAGAGGCTGCTGGGTTCTGGAATTCTTCCATGGAAAGAGCCTGGACGTTAGCTTGCAGTTTCTTTCCATCTCCAATGCTTTGAGGCCAGGCTTCCAGGGTCTTTCTGGAAAGTGCAGTTGGGATGGGCGGGAGAAGGCAGCTCCTTGGAGGGAATGGGGGATGTGGCCTGCGAAGGGAGGCGGGTACCACCGGGAAGCACGAGAATTCGCCTGGGGATGGCCAGGAAACACCCTGGAGGAGCCTGGAGGTGGCAGACGGGAGTTTGTTTTCCTGAGAGCAAGAGAAGGCACCCCCAGGACATCTGATCTCTGCCTTGGCGGCTGGAGTGGATTTCTAAGCAATAGGCTCCCCTTCCTGCCTTCCGCACCTCCAATTTATCCCCCCTCTCCTTCCCTAAGCTCACCCCAGCACCCCCAGAAGCTTTCTCCCGTTGCCCCAAGCCTCACCTTTGTCCATCCTGGCCAACCTGGGATCACAGGGGTGGAGCAGGGCTGATCCCTGGGGGACCTCCCATTGCAGTGCCCCAAAAGGAGGGTCTAGGAGGTGTGGGCTGAGTCACAGCAGGTCACAGCGGGGACACACATTCCACTTGGTTCCCTGATGACCTCCTTGGCTTTCTTGGCGTTCCTGCCCCGTCTCCTTGGCTTGGTGCATCCCCTGCTGGCGGCAGGTGGAATAACCAGACCTTGTTGCCTTTGGTTTATTATCTGCTTTACACAAGGGTTCTCCTGCCTTAACAATCTCTCTGGGGAAGACTGGAGGGAGTTGTGACCTGTTTGCCAGGTTCGGGGCAAGGGGCAGGAAGAGGCAGGTGTGCGCCCCTCGCTTTTTGTTCTGCTGCACAAGTTCACTCTTCCTTCCCCTGAGTGAGCAGTGGTGACGGTGGTGAGCCCTTCTCATTAGCCTGGGCCTCTGCTCTCGTTCCCCCTGTGGCTTTAGAAGAGAACCCCAAGGACAATAAGCCCCAAGCGGGGGCCACCCGACCCCAAGATGTGAACCGCAAAGACCAGCAGCGCCATTCAGGGACCTCTGCCGCCCGGACCAATGCTGGGGGCATCCAGGACAGCGAGATGGTGCGTTTGGGACCGGTGGGGACCCCCTGGGGCAACATCCTGGCTGAGAGCTTGGAGCAGTATCTGGAGGGCCACTCTGATGCACCTGCCCTTCCCGCTGCCCGCAGGGTCCCTGCCGGCGACATCTGGACACAGTCCTGCAGCAACTGCAGACCGAGATCTTCCGAGGCACTCAACCCCTCTATGTGCCGAACTGTGACCATCGCGGCTTCTACCGGAAGCGGCAGGTAAATCCAAGTCAGACCCTGACCTTGTCTTTGGTCATCCCCTTCTGACTTGAGAACCCACACAAAACCTAAAGATCCATACCTTGTAGCAGAGGTCCCCAAGTCACCCAAGCTCTTGAGCCAAGGGAGGATGGATGGATGGACATTCATGGACTTGCAAACCTTAGAAGCATGCTTTTTCTTGCCCAGCCCCCGTCATCCTGGCGCTGGTACTTAGGGAATGCCACCAGGCTATAGCCTAGCAGGAGGGGGTGACACCTAGTGGGTCAAGAGAGGCACCTGCCAGCCGTTTCTGAGGTCCAGGAGCCCCTTCCCACGTCTCCTGACCTTGAACTCCTGGTCTCTCCTCAGTGTCGCTCCTCCCAAGGACAGCGCCGAGGCCCCTGCTGGTGCGTGGATCGCATGGGCCAGCACCTGACCGGCTCTCCAGATGGCAACGGAAGTGTCTCCTGCCCCAGCGGGGGGAGCAGCAGCGGCTAAAGCTGGACTGGGGAAAGGCGGGAGGGGGGACTGTAGGGGTGGCAGCTGCAGGGCCCGTGATGAGAATGAGTAACTCGGGTTCTGCCTCCAAGCCCTGCCACGTTGCCCCTACCCCCACCCCAGGCCCTTGTACGTCTCCCGGGAAGGTTAACAGCTATCAATAAAGCTGCCTTGGAGGGGCGCCACAGCGTCTCTGTGTGTGCGTGTGTCTCTCACAGCTCTCTGGAGCCCTCATCCCTCGCCCCTTGCCCTTCTTGTGGCTACCCTGGGTCCTATCCACTGCACTTGGATGACTGGATGTGGCCACGTGCCTCCAGCCCTCAGGCCACACCCAGCTCTCCTCACCCCTGCTGGGAACTAGGGGGATGGGGTGGGGAGGTTGGGAGGAGCAAGGCTGAGATCACAGCCTGCTCGCAGCCTGTTGCCAATGCTGCACTTTGGACAGGAGCGGAGGAGAAGGGTTAATCGTTAATCTCCAGCAGGAAGCCTCAAAGAGATGCTCTCCTCTGACCTTCGGTGGTTTTCCTACTAAGCAGGGAAGGATAGGATGGTTTGGGGGTCATGATTTTGTGATATTGATAGGAGCTCCCCCCTGTCCAAACACACACACACACACACACACACACACACACACCTTATTCTGTGCATACAAGCACACTGGGAGGGTTGCTTTATCACCCGCTGGACAAGAAGGAAGAAAACCCATACCTTGAAAATGTCACCTGCCTGGGCGTCACTGGGCCGCCGAAGCACAGCAGCTCTTGTGTGTGGCCAAGGCGAGTTGTGTTGCCTGCAGGTGTGGGGACCAGCTGAGGTTGGCACCCAGCAATCTCACACCCCCCCCCCCGAGAATGCCTCAGGGTCACGAGTATCACCAGGGCTACAACCCCATCAGAAGGTGGCTGCCCACATATGCTCACATGCTTGGGAACCCAATGCCTTGGCCCAGAAAGATGGTTCTGAATCTGCTTGCTGACCTTCAGCCCGCTCCATGGTAAACTGGAAGGTGAACCGGGTGATAAGACTTATGGAGGGAGGCAAAGTCCCCATCAAGACAGAGCGGGGCAGCCAGTCGGGGATTTCAGCGCTGAAGGGATGCAGCTGCTGAAGAGAAGCGCTGCTCTCTGATAATCTGTTGTGCTCTCCGAGGCCCCCTCCTCCTAAAAGGACTTTAGTCTTTGGAGCTGACAGCTCAGAGAGAGAGCAGAGCGAGCAAGCGGGACAGGCGCTCAGCGGGCCAAGGCTGTGGAGGAAGGGAGGGGGCTATCTGCGCCCCCCACCCCTGAGACCGGAGACCCACACACCATGGAGCCAAGGGGATCCCACGGGCGGAGGAGGCAAGGCCTGGGAGGGAAGCCCAAGGAGCTGCGTCCCGGAGGAGGTGAGCAGAGAGCCTGGGGCTGGGCTGGGCGAAACCTGTCCCCTGACTCCGATCACTTCCACTTCCCCGAGTGGGAGACACAGACCACAGCTTCCCCCCATGCCCCAAGCTGGGAGTTGAAGATGAGCTGTATACTCTGACCCTCTCTCCCGCTGCCTTCCTCACCCCAGAGGACCAAGGCAGGAACTTCCTATCCCCTGAAGCACCCTGTTTCCAGAAATGTCACCGGCTCCCTCGCTTGCCAAGGGCCCTTTGGCCACTGCAACACTAATTTCCTTTTCTAGTGGCCCCCCACCCATGATTGCAGATGTGACTGGCTGGGGACAGAAGCATTTCCTAGATACAGGATGCTCCTGGACCTGCAGCAGGCGTGGGAGTCCGGACTCCGGACCCCGCCCCTTCCCCCCTCCCAAGGCACTGCCCTTTGACCCCTCCCTCTAGGAGACACAGAGCTGCAGGGAGCCCCCGACTTGGCGCAATGGACCCAAAATATGGAGGTGAGGGACGTCAGAGGTCAAGACAGAGAGACCCTGGGATGGGAGGAGGCAGGGATGAGAACCGGCTTGATGATAAAGACGACTTGTTCTCCAGCTCAAAGATCAGGGTGGAATGAAGGGTTAGGCTGCAGGACCCTGATGCGCAGGTCCTCAGGGGGCAGTCAGTGAGCGGAGGCTTCCTGGCCCTAGGGTTAGAGGTCAGGGCTAAGAGCCAGAGGTTTGAGTGACACGGACTCAAAGGAGCCAGAGTGCTGCCATTATTTTTGCTTCAAATAGTTATTTCTAATTAATTCAAGAGAAAGATAAATAGCTCCCCCGCACATGGATTCGCGTCCCAACAACAATGGCTGTGGCTGGGCTGGGCTGGGCTGGGCGGGCCCGGAACACAACTTAGGTGTTGCACAAGGATGGCAAGAACCCAATTATCGGAGTCACAACTGCCCTCAGGATCTGTGTGAGCAGGCAACTGGAGTTACAGGGAGAAATGGAAATGAAGGGGAGAGGGAGAGAGAGATGGTTGCAGCAGCCAGGGTCGGGCCGGATGAACACCAGGAGCCTGGCACTCCAACCAGCCTCGCAGGTGAGTAGCAGTGACCCAAGCACTTGGGCCATCCTCCGTTTCTTCTCAGAGTGCATTAGCAGCGAGCCAGATCAGAAGTGGAACAGCTGGGACTTGAATTGATGTTCCTAATAACAGTGGCACCACACACGGCAGTTTAACCTGATGTGCCACCATGCCAGTTGCCCCTGCTGTCATTCTTGATCCTCACTACTGTCCAGGGGGCGCTGGGCAGGGATCAGGGCCTGGCAGGGACACAGCCATGGATTCCCTACCCGCACTGCGAGAGGCTCAATCAAGGCTGCATGGCTGGAGAGACAGTGGGCCCTGCTTCCGCTTTGTCTTACAGGCTGTAAAGCAGCGATTGCTGGAGCAAGCGGAGCCACAGCTGCGGAAGCTGCTGGATCGGGCCATGTGGGAGGCTGTGCAGGCGTACACACTGCACGACAAACCTCTGCCCGCCGCTGCCCCAGATGCCCTGAGCAGGTGAGGAACCTGGGGCGGTGGCGGGGGGGGGGGGGGGGGGGGGGGGAGTTGCTGCAGCCGTCCCCTCTGTTGGAAGCGAAGCCGGCGCCACCCTCACTCCCATCCGTCTCGTCTCATTGCCTGCTGCTGCTACCTCCCACCTCCTGCACTTTGCCCTGCCCCTGACCTTGCCCTGCTGCTGGCCTCAACTGACCTCTTGCATGGCCTCTGCCCACTACCTGCTGCGTGCTCCCTATAGACCCTGACCCATCTCAATGCAGGGACCGGCGGCCAGCGCAGGGGAATCGGAAAGTTTTCATCACCCGCAAGTCCCTGATTGAGTAAGCGGAGCGGAGGGGGAAGCGGGGAGAGGAGGGGCTTCAGCCGGGAGGGGGGAGGTCCAAGGACACCCTCCCCAACCCCCATCCCCAGGCTCGAGGTGATCCCGAGAGGAAGATGAAAGAGAGCTGCTGCTGCAGTTCAGATTTCCACCCCCCTCTTCCTCAACATTTGCCCTTGGGCATGGTTGAGGGACAGAAGGCCCAGGCAGAAGTCCCTGCCATGACCCAGACCTGAGGCCCCTCCCACGCCGTCCCTGCAGCGAGCTGTTGGAGGTGCAGCATGTCCGTACCGTCTACCACTTGTTCATTGCTGGCCTGTGCTTCATCGTCAGCATCCTGGCCGTGGACTTCATCGATGAGGACAGGTAAACCAGCCCCCAGCCAGCAGGGGACAGGCACACACAGATCCAACCGGAGCTGCTGGATTCCCAGCGCCCCCAGAATTCTCACCCTCCCCCCAAGCTTAAGAGGGTAAAAGTTGTTCTTGTAATGGACGGCAATCTTCCTGCCTGATGCATTCTCCCCATCTTGGCCTGTCGTCCCAGGGCCAGCCCAAGACAGATGTGGGAGCATGCGTGCACTCCTTAAGCTGCAGCTATTGGGTGCCCGCTGAATACCAGCCCTGGGGTGGGGTGGGGAGGGGGGACAGAGACAAAAGGAGGCAGATACCCTCCTTGTCTGTGAGGCCCCGAAGAGTATCCTCTACTTCAAGGTCAAGAGCCCCAGAGGGCTGCATCCCCCCCACCAAAAAAAAGGGTGCATCTTCCCACTCTATAGCTGCAGGTTCAACACTATCACTTACTTCTGGTAACCTATTGTTAATTACACATGTATTACCAGGATAGAATCTCAGTTTTAAAATAAAAAATCTCATACACTTTAAAAAATATTTAATCATTTATTTGAAAGGGAGCGCTCCCATCCACCAGTTCACTCTGTCCCCAAATGCTTGCCACAGCCAGGGCCCGACCAGGCTGAAGCCGGGAGCTGAGATAATCCAGGTCTCCCACAGGGTAGCAGGGACACATGTGCTCAAGTTGTCGTCTGTGTCCTGCCAGGGTCTGCATTGGCAGGGAGCTGGCATGGGTGGGACACAGTGAGGACTCAATCCAGGCATTCCAGTATGGAATGCAGCCTTCTCAAGTGACCTCTGGGTTGCCCCAAAGGCCAGTTCCCAAATGAACTGTTTCCTGTAAAGTGACCTCCATAACCAGCTTCCAGTCCCATTTCCCACCTTTGGCGATGTTAAGATGCCCTCCAGAGCAGTCTCACCCAGATGTGCCCAAGAAGCCAGGAGAGCAGGGAACCTACGTGCGTGCGACAGGGCACCTGTGCCTGCGCCATCTGGTTTCCCTCCCTAAGGATCCGGTCATGGCAGCCCAGTTATCTGAATGACCGCAGAGCACGGACGTGCTAGCTTTGGCTTACTTCATCCTCTATTTTTGATCCTTGAAAGGATTAAAAATACATTGATTTCTTTGAGAGATAGATATATCCCATTTGCTAGTTCCACGAATGTCTGCAATGAATGGCTGGGGGGCTGGGCCAGGCCCACGTGGGAAGGCAACACAGGTCTCCCGTGGAGTTGAGCCATGGCTGCTGCCTGCTGTGACACAGGAGGCAGAAGCCAGGGTGAGGACCTGGAGCAGGGACCTGAACCCAGGCACACTGGTGTGATCCCAGGCCCTGATGTCTCACCTCATGAAGATCTAGCTCCTTGCTACCATGTCTGGGAAGGCAGCCAGAGATTGCCCAAG